GTAAAAATTCACTCCAGGCTGAAACTTGGTATGTCAGATCTCAGCTCTTAAGCAGTGGTTGTTTCTACCAGTTTTCAAGAAAATTGATTTAGCTGTTTTTATGTTATATGACAGAGAAAGAAATGATGGTTCTGGTGATGTTTACTATTTCAAGTGCTGCTTTTTTTCAGCCTGTATAATAAAACTGCTTTGCTATTGGCATCTTTCATAGCCCCTTTGTGCTTCAGTGGAATACATAACTGTTCTTTTAAGTGTATGAAATTCTGATTGAATGTTGGCACTTGTTTAGGGAAATATCATAATAGGTGCATAAAGTTGACCTAAAGGCACATTTTGCTTATGATACATTAGGCAGTATTGAGGGAATTGAGGGAAAATTATATTAATATACAACATCAAATATAGTGTATTAAATATTCTCAGCTGTTCTCAGTGGTGGCAGATGACAGAACAAGGAGCAATGGTCTCAAGTTGCAGTGGGACAGGTCTAGGTTGGATATTAGGAAACACTATTTCACTACGGGGGTGGTGAAGCACTAAAATGGGTTACCTAAGGAGGTGGTGGAATCTCCATCTTGACAAAGTCCTGGCTGGTTTAGATGATTTAGTTGGTTTTGGTCCTGCTTTGAGCAGGGGGATGGACTAGATGACCTCCTGAGGTCTCTTCCAACCCTAATATCCTATGATTCAAATAATATCTGGTAAAAAGAGGGCAAAATTCAATCATAGTTTCAGTTAATTTGTTTTTAGCACATATGACATTCATCCAAATTATGTAACTGTGTGATAGTTAAACTACTTAGAGCCAGTGGTTCATATGGAAAATAATTTCCCCCATTCCCCCAAAAGGTCAGTAACCTTTGTATAACAGAGTTCTACTCTTGTGTCTGAACTACTTGCATGTGGTTAGAACTGGAATGTTCTGAGATCAGTTCTGAGCTGGCCCCTAAAAGGATGGCATAAATTGAACTGTTGTGAGGAGTATTGGCCAGAAAAGCCTCAGTCATCATCTTTCTATTTATCTCCTGATATGGGAGGAGCTCACATGTTCTGCCTTGGAAGATGGCTATTTATGTGTGGCTGCAGTAGCTTTTCATGAACTTGATTTCACCGGTTGGTATGTCCAGTATACCTCCGGTACTTGGCTTTATTGTTTTATCTTCTGTGGTTTTAATCATGTTTCTTCTTATGTTATGTATATTTCTCCTCCTGTTTTCTGGATGGAGTCTCTCATGTGACAGGAATATGTCCATCATGGACAACTACAAGCACTATTTGCAGTGCCTTGGAGCAGTTCATGACACACTCGGATGTGAGATCTGCTCAAAGTTGTCACCTTTAAGTCATCAGGCCCCAAGGAGAATATGTCAGGCTTTGGCTGACCTACCCTGAAGCAACCAATAAATCCAACTTGAAGTCAGTGCAAAAGAGCTGCCTTCAAGGCAGCAGATTCAAAAATCATTTTTTGCTGGTAGATGAGGCTCTGTCAGAACTGCTAAGTTTGGTGCAGATCTGCCTTAGTAGGCGCCCAGAGCAGCAATTTAATAGCTTTGCAATGATTTGTGAACATCCAAATTTAGCAACCAAAGAGTCATGATAGAGATTAATTTTCATCAGGGTTTAGATAGAAATAGATTGTGGATCTGAATTCTAACATAGGAATCAGAGTGGAGCCTCTCCCAAAGAGGAAGTTGCATATTAGTCCATATCAATGACTGTACATCTTGGTTCTCCCGAGTAAATAAACCTAAATGCTCTGGTTATTATAGTTGTCCTATTTGCACTTTGGCTGTCAGAGAGCTGGTAGCCCCAAAACACAACCAGGCCATAAGGTTTTTGGCTATTCTGAGGTGGATGACTCTCTTTTTTTTTTTCCTCTGATGCAAAACAAATTCTGAAACCTCAAAATTTTTCACAAAACAGAATTCTTCCTTTTCAGTCATCCCTACAAATTGTTACACTTACGATGTTGATACCCATTGTATCTGAAGAATGAAGAAGTAGAGTTTATATCATCATTTTAATAGCAAATAATTCCTTAAAATGCTTTGGGAAACCCGATATTCCAAACCACTGTGTGTGCTAATGGATATTTAAAAAAAAACACCATTTGCGGGGAACTGTGTATTACTAAGCTGGTAGGAAATAGAGTTTGTCTGGCTGTGCTGGAAGGAGGACAGGACACAGTGGATATGATTTAATTAGGCTGCAACTTTATTTCTAAATGTCTGAGAGTACCTGGCAGATAAAACAGTTCATTGCAGGCAATTCATTATCTATTGTGTATACCCATGGGGTGGGGGCTGCTGTCAGCCTTCCCCCTTTACCCGTCCTGGTCCCCAGTCAACATGCTGCTGGGTTAAAGGGGAGGGGCGGCTCCCTGCCAGGTTAAAGGGGAGGGGCGGCTCCCTGCCATACCAGTCAAAGCAGCCCAGACCCCCCACACACACATTTCCACTCCTTTAAATAATACCTCCTTTAAATCCTTTACCAGTCCATTTTCTCCAGTCACTGTATACCTCCATCATCTGCCCCATGCTTACAAAATTAGTTGCAACATCATAGCTTAACTCCCATTTCATATTCACCCACTGTGTGTAAGGCAGAATCTCCCTCCCCCCACCCCCCCACACCCCTCTCACCTTGGCCAATCTGGTGGTGAGGGAAAACATCCTTCCCAGCCCCTAGTGAAAGATCTACAAAAAGGAGTAAACAGTGAGGTGTCATTGTTTTCAGATGATATAAAATTACTCAAAATAGTTAAGTCCAAAGCAAACTAAAGAATTAAAAAGAGATTTCACTAAACTGGGTGTCTGGGCAACAAAATGGCAGATGAAATTAATGAAGATAAATGCGAAGTAATGCATATTGGAAAACATAATCGCAACTGAACACACAAAATTATGATCTAAATTAGCTGTTACCATTCAAGAAAGAGCTCTTGGAGTCATTGTGAATAATTCTCTGAAAATATCCACTTAACAGTCAAAAAAGCTAACAGAATATTAGGAACTATTAGGAAAGGGAGGGATAATAGGACAGAAAATATCATAATGCCACTTTATAAATCCATGGTATGACCACACCTTGAATACTGTATCCAGTTCTGGTTGCCCCATCTCAGAAAAGATATATTAGAATTGGAAAAGGTACAGAGAATGGCAACAAAAATGATTAGGGGTATGGAACAGCTTCCATATGAGGAGAGATTAAAAAAACTGGGGTTGTTCAGGTTGGAAAAGAGACGACTAAGGGGCGATATGATAGAAGTCCATAAAATCATGAATGGTGTGGAGAAAATGAATAGGGGAAGTGTTATTTATTCCTTCACATAACACAAGAACCAGGGGATCACCCAATGAAATTAATAGGCAGCAGGTTTCAAACAAACATAAGGAAGTACTTCTTCGAAAAATACACAGTCAATCTATTGAACTCATTGCTGGGGGATGTTGTGAAGGCCAAAAGTACAACTGGGTTCAAAAAAGAATTAGGTAATTTCATCGAGGATAAGTCCATCAATGGCTATTAGTCAAGATGGTCAGGGATGCAACCCCATGCTCTGGGTGTCCCTAAACCTCTAACTGCCAGAAGCTGGGACTGGATAATGGGATGTATCATTTGATAATTGCCCCGTTCTGTTCATTCCCTCTGAAGCTGCTGGCACTTGCCAGTGTCAGAACACAGGATACTGGGATATTGGTCTGACCTAGTTGGGCCATTCTTAAGTTATTATGTAAAGAGCCAACTACAGTAATACACACTGCAGATCATGAGAAAACCTGGTATTTAACGACTTCCATGGGTGGAAGTGTAGGTGATGCTCAACTGGTCCAGGTATAAGAGGGTTTTTCTTGCACCAGTATAGACCGAAATAGTCTTCCATCTCTTCTGGTGACTGGGGAGGAGAGGGTGATGGGTCTGCTGACCTGGTTTGAGGCAGCTGCAGCAAGTCCCTCTGGTTTTCTAGTCATTAAAGGAGCCACACACCTTTTCCTACAAGCCAGAAAATGGCCCCCACTGCTTCATGTGGGGCATTGTTCAGAATATAAAAGTGTATGATGCAGGTAATTCCATAATCATGTACATATATCCAAGGGAAGCTTCTCTCAGCCCTCCCCCCTTACCCATCCTGGTCCCCAGCCAACCCACTGTTGGGACCCTATCATCCCCCCTTGAATGAAGGTGAAGGGAGGGCTAAAAGGAGGTATGGGTTGGCTCCCTGCCATACCAGTCATAGGAATCCCTGCCCCCGATTCCACTTCTTTAAAGAGTACCTCCTTTTAATCCTTTAGCAATGCCGTTTATCTGATCACCATACCCCTTCCTTATGAAGTTCTCCTAATCCACTAGGTTTGGTGTCTCTTGCTGTCTTGGGGGGAAGGGGAGAGGAGGAGGGATAAGTGACCACCCTCCCCTCCCACATTTAGATCCCCCAGAGGAAAAATAGGGAAGTTCCCTGAAACCCACCGAGTTCATCCCTACAGACATCCATTGCAGCATTGGACAGAAGGGACTCACTTTCAGACCTTGACCCCGAAACCTCCATCTGATGCTGGTCATATTCACCCCTGCTCGTTGTGTCACTCTCCTGTCCTGTTTCTGGGAAACAAACGGAAATCATGGGGTGGTATTTTGGATTCATTGTTCTGTTGCATACTTGTGTAGTGGTTCAGATGATTTAATATCATTTGATATAATGCAAGGGACCAAAATGTAGCTGAGACCGGTTACATCACTGAATCCCAATATTAAATATGTAATAATTTATATGGTCATATTTTGTTTTTCAGCTGATTTTGAGACGATCCAAAAACTGTTGAAATGTTGGAATTCCCTGAAAGGAAAAAATAACACCAAAATCTATCTTTAACCTGGTCTATATCTCCATATAATTAATTTGTAATTAAAAATGTTCATTAGACTGCTGCATTTAAACCTATTGAATAACATACTGTACTGTATTAATGTATCTTTAACATATACATTTTGTTTTCCAGCCCTGAGGGACAACAGAATTGAGCTGGTTCGAGCTTCATGGCATGAACTGAGCATCAGCGTCAGTGATGTGTCTCTGTCAGATGAAGGGCAATACACCTGTTCTTTATTTACTATGCCTGTCAAAACTTCCAAGGCTTTTCTCACTGTTCTGGGTAAGTATAGCCGGCTGAGAATACCAAAGTGAAATGAGTTAAGAGATGAGTTTTAAGACTTCTCAAATCTTGGTAAATTTTTCTAGTGTGAATTTTCAGAAAACTTCGCAGCAGACGCATGTAAAACACCCACTCTTGCTTTCTCTAAAGATTGCTTGACTAGAACCATGCCTAGGAATAGCAAGCCCCTTATTATGTGCGATGTGGCACATGAATTACAGTGCACATCAATAGTACCACATGAGTGCTCCTTAAAATGGACATAACCTCTATATCCCAAGCACCAAAGGGGTTAACAGGGTGCATGTGTTCATCTCCTAACAATGTACTGTATAGGGCAAAGGAGACAAAACCAGAGAGCATGAAATCAAAAAGGGCTTTAGGGACTCATAGTTTTTCCTTAGCTATGCATTTTCTTGGCTCATTCTATTTTCTTTTTTCCTCTACAAAGTGCATATTTTCACTGGGCTTGCTTCTTTTATGCTTCATCCTCTAAATGCTCTGCTGTTTTCCCCAAAGGTTATAGAGACACACACACACACAAAAAGCAATAGATTCATAGCAATGCCCAAAAAATAATGTTTCAGCTCCGAGCTTTATGTGATTCTATCAATGTCAGTAGCCCAATCAGCTGAAATTGCTATAGTTCATTGAAACACACCTGTGCACCTAACAAGTGATACGATTTTAAAGATTGATTTTTTTTCCCCATTTTGTTTTGTTTTGCTTTTTATATATAGAAAAGCAGGCAGTTGAATTTAATAGGACTAATGCAAGATGTTCTCTGTGCTAGTAATATTAAAGTTAATCCAGCCAGGGAATTGGTTTTGTGCATAGGATATGAAATATGCCTCTGTGAGTCCCACTGAGTCTATTTTACAAAAATCTGCACAAGTTTGCCATTAAGGACAAAAAATATCCACTCAAAGCAGAGTATTTTGGGATAACAACTGCCTAAGGGTTAATTTTTTTTCTGTAGAGAGCCATCTCAAGATCCAAAGAATAGATGATTAGTCAAATTCAACCTATTAAATGGCATTGGGACCCAGATAAAAGGGTGTTACAAAGGTAAAAAGCCAGACATCTAATCAGTAGCTTCTAATCAGGGTGGCTTGATTTTTTTTATGGTCTATTTAGTTCTATTTTTTATTTGCTTGGGGTTTTTTTTACATGACTGCTTTCCAACATCTTCCGTTTTCTTTCCAGCAAAAAGACAGCAGCAAGGTTTCAGAAGCATCTGTCTCACTATAATTTTATTTGTCTATTAGAAACTCACATTTAAAATTCTTCTAAAGATGCCCCTATATGAGAGTAATGTTCTTTTTTTTTTCCTTTGTAATTTATTCCATGCCATCATTTTAATCGGAAAGATGATTTATATGCAGAAATATTCTTTCTATTCACTGGTCTGATTTGGATTAGAAGATTTTAATGTACAGGGATTATTAAAGATGCCATTTCATGCCCCTGAAAAGTAGGAGTAGTTTTACTACAGAATCTACACTGTGATAGGTGCTGTTGTTTGTGTTTGGAGTAATGTTTGATTGCGTGCAGTGTTTATCGGTTTCCTTTGGAAAAGGAGAGACACGAACAAACCACACTGCAAGATGCAAAGCACAGAGCGGAATTTCAGTGACTGATCCCTTTATCCAGGAATGAAAATCTGTGAATTAACTGAAACATTCCAGATGTAAAGGGTAAACCTAATCGTATTATAAGAGCTTTTAGAAACTGTGGAAAGATATATCCCCTCAAAATAAGTCATTTCTGTGTGTTACTAAGCCAGTCATTGAATATAACTAAATATTCTCAATTTTATTCACAGTTCTTTATTTTAAATCTCCCTCCATTCCTCAAAACATAATCCTTGCCATCTCTAATGTTTGGAGTATGATATTTAATGGGCATAGGACCTGATACAGACCTCACTGAATCAATGGAAGGATTCCTATGAATTCTGTGTGCTTTGGATTGGGCCCATTATTACTATATATTATTTAAATCTGAAAAGAGAGGATTTCCCCCCCCCCTTCTTTTTGCTCTCCTTTTGTGGTAGGATTCCCTGAATTCATGCTGGAACTGTCTGTTAAAATGCAGTTGGATCCGTTTGGATTTTGTTCCTGGTTGTGTTTCATTTTAACAAGAGTAGTTAATATATTCCATACCTCCCACCCAAAATAATCTGCTTAAAATGCAGATATCCACTATATATCGAGCAATAGGAAGTCATTCTGAACTTGAACTTAAAGTATGAGACAAGCTGGATTGGTTTAAAATTAACATACAAAACATGTTCATTTTCTTCATTTTCTAGTATGGTTCAGATTCACTGGTCAGTTTAAAATAGAAAACGGAATTCAGTGACACTTGTTGTTAGGCTTGTCAATCATAAAGTGAATAAACCTATCTGTTATTTCTTTTGGAAATTGACCTCTAATAGGTTAACCTTATCAACTGACAACCCTCTGGTCAAAGGCTTAAAGTAGCTGATTGGCAACATACTGTATCTTTTATTTGCTTAGGTGTTCCTGAGAAGCCACAAATTAGTGGATTTACTTCACCAGTTATGGAGGGAGAGAGGATGCAGCTAACCTGCAAGACCTCTGGTAGCAAACCAGCAGCTGATATCAGATGGTTCAAGAATGACAAAGAGATTAAAGGTATTGAAAAACATTTCTATGTAAATATGTGTCAACATCAAAACTAAAGCATTTAATGGGATAGAGGATTGCTTGGAATTGTATCACTTTCATTTTTATAAAAGGACGGACATTATCTAAACGTGCAAGAATCAATTCTATTATGTAAATGTGGAAGAATTGATCAATATTTATCATAATAGCAATATGACTGATTTTTTTTGCAAAATGTTACAAACTATAATTTTTAATTTTTAATTATAGTTTGTAACATTTTGCAAAAAAAATCAGTCATATTGCTATTATTTTTAATTATAGTTATCTTAAGGCCATAATATCACCTTAATTGAGATGGATCATAAAATGCTTTACAATCATCTTGAGTACCAGGTTCATGTCTCTATCAGTACCCCAGCTATTTTGACATTTGATCCACTCTTGCATGTTCCCAGAAAATTGGTATTGGTTTTTATTGCTGTCATTTTCATCTAATATGCTAAAAGATCTGGTGAATGAGTTGTCAGAATTGTGACTGTTTCCATGTAGCTATTATTTTAAAATCATTCCTTTAGTATCCATGTAGCTCACACACTTGTCTGGCATTATGGTTTTTGTTAGTGAATCAAAAAGCTGCTTCAAGCAAAGCTGTGGTGGTAATAAGAGAAACAGTTCAACTTTCTTTGGTATCTACCAACACAGAGCAATACATAATAATAATAATTAAAAAAAAAGACTAATATGCAAAATTTATAAGTTAAAGATACCATGGTTGATATTCACAGAAATATGATTTCTTTTAAATGTACCTGTCTTGAGAAGTTTCCAATTCAAAATCAGAAAATTGGATTGGAAAGAGGCGTGAACTTTGGGCTCAAGTAGGTTAAAATATGCCTGAGTTCCTGTGGTCGAGTGAAGATGGGAAGCAGGAAATCAGAAAGTGGAGTCTTTCAGCCTTCAGGATGGTAAATCGGGGTTCTCAAACTTCATTGCACCGCTACCGCCTTCTGACAACAAAAATTACTACACGACCCCAGGAGGGGGGACCGAAGTGTGAGCCCTCCCCAGCCTCACCACCCCGGGAGGCGGGGCCAAAGCCAGACCTGAGACCTGTCACCCAGGGCTGAAACCCTCATGCTTCAACCCTGGGCAGTGGGCTCAGGCTTTGAGTTTGGCCCTGGGCTCGGGCTTCGGCTCTGGGCACCAGCAAGTCTAATGCCAGTCCAAAGACCACTTTGGGGTACCGACCCACAATTTGAGAACTACCAAGAGAAAAGTAGCACCTTGTGCAATATAATTAAAAGGCAAAATGTAACAGAGGACATCACATACATGCTGTACTATGCCAGCAAAGCTGTCATTCAAAAGAGATGTCAAAGTGAATGTATGCAAGAAGTGCCATCAAAAGATAGAAAATAAACATAGGTAGTGCCAGCATCCTAAATGAACTACAGGTGTAAGCAGACATAAGCAAGGGCAACTCATGGCACCAGATTTTTTTTAAAATCAGATCTTTCAAGCTTGCACAGTAATTATGTATTTCCTGTTCAGCTGAAATGTAATAGCAGCAAAGCAGACAATTTAGGGATTTTAATCTTAAACTAACACATGGCTTTCTGGGCAGGTACCTAAGGGATGGACATAAGAAAGAAAACTCAATAGAATGGATGAAATAGGTATTGAAACTGAGGAGGAATAGAAAGTGAAGAAGATAAAAATGAGGGAAAAGCCTTGAACGCTTTAGTTTTCTAGGTCTTCTGAAGAGCACATTGCCATTGTCATGAAGGTTACAAATAAAATAACCTAACTAGCTTGCAATGGCATCAGCAGAAGGTACATTAGCTTTTGTGCACTGGAAAAGGTGAAATGATAAATCTGAGAAAATAGATATGAAATTGTATGCTAATGCACCTGACATTAAAGGTTAGGAGTTCTGCTGTCTAGCACCAGTAAATCCAATTGTGTTACAGTATATTATACATGGTACAAAAGAATATGAAAACCGAATACATTCAGTTCAGAGACGGAACCGGGGGGAAAAAAGCCAACCTAAAATGTTGCTTGCATTTCTGTTAGCAGAAAAAAGGAATCATCATCTAGTAAGAGAGACCTGTTTAGCAGGCTCGATGTTAAGAATGGGAGAGGCTGAGTGTGAATCATGGCATTACATTCCTTATATTTTAATGTTCTGCCTCTTATATATGCACCCATAGTAGCATAGGGATGTGAAGTTTGGCTTTCTAATCCTTTATTTCTACCTGCTCAATAATACAACTGACTGTGGCATCCCTAAATTGAGCTTAAGGGATTCAAATTATCAGAAAATAAATACACAATACTTATTTGTCACATAATTTATTACTCACTGATTTGAAAATGTAACCTTGAATGTGGTTTTAGTTTTCACTTTTCAGAAATATTTTCAAATTATTTTCCTGTTTTTTTTCCTGTGTAGTAAAAAGTAATTAATTAATTAATTAATATTTTTGCAACAAAATGGCAAATTTAAAATGAGGTTGCTAATTTTAATATGTGCAGTGAGATCAGAAATGTGGTACTCTTTTTGGCTTGACAAAACTCCAGCTGAAAGTAGAATTTAACCTTCTCAGATTATAATGCAAGGTTAAAGCAAAACCAGATGAAAAATATACAGAAGCCCAAAATACCAGATTTGCCCAGTTAAAATATGGAAAAATATATTTTCAATGGATAATTGTTACATATATGGGAGCAATATAAGGTTATAATTGGTTGAAAATAACCAATGAGTGATAAATCAGCAAGTTTATATTGTTTTCCTCCTCAGAGACCAATAATATGGAGCTAACAAAAAGTGTTAAACAGTCAGAGTGCATATGCAAACAGTGAGTTCCAAGAAAACTGTTTGTTTCCATGGGGATGTGGGGTGTTCCTTGACTTTAAGCTTCACTTCCTCTAATAAATGTGATTCTCAGAAGAAAAAATTCTGTTACTTTAAAAATATTTGGCCATTATAGATAATTGTATAGATATTTTTGATGATCCAGATAGTCAGGGTTTATATAAAACTACATACATTGACTTATTTTTTCACTGACAATTAAGGGTCAGTATTTTAAAGAAACAGGCATCTAAAAGGCTCCTAAAGAAGTGGTCTCCATTTTTCAAAAGTGCTGCGCATCCAGCAGCTCCCATTGAAGTGAAGGCTCCCAATGCCTAGGAGCTGTCTGATCTCCAGTTAATTGGAGCTGCTGGGTGCTCAGCACTTTTGAAAATAAGTCTGTTTATTCAGGTGCTTAATGTTACATTTAGGATCCAAACTTTAGGCACTTTTTAAATCTAGGCTAAAATATTTTCCTCCTTTACGAATATAATAACCTTGGTTTATCCATGGTCTCTATTTCCCTCAGCTTTCTGATCCATAAATCTTGATAGTCACCTCAGCAAAAATTGAAATCTGCTTAATGCTTAGCAACCAACAGGAAGAAAAATGCCTGGGTGGGGAAGACAATTATTTCTGAAGCAAAAATCAGAATTATTTAACTACCTGGATTCTTACATTATCTGGAATGAGTGAAAAAGCCCATCTTTCTGATTCCATAGATATTTTTAATCTAAAAAGATGTAGTTTATTACATTTTAGATATGCTTTCTAAAATTGACTTTTCATGGAAATTTTATTTAGGTCATTTTCCTCTCCCTAATGGGATTTTACTATGATTTGTAAAATTGAAACCTCTTGCATTTTCCTTTCCTTTGATTAGGAAACACAGGACACATGCAATCTCAGTAGTATATTCCTTTACAAAAATTCATTTTAAGGCCTTCATTAGCACAAATCAATATGACCAGGTTGTCGTTTTGCTAAAATAAACAAAAATCAATGAGCAGTGTAAATAGTTGTGTACAAAATAAAACTAATCCAAAAAGTCAATAAGTGGCTCTCACATTAACTTCTGTGCACATTAACCTCATCTGTTGGTTCTTCTGTTCTGCTCTCATTTATGCATCATACAAGGAGGCTCTTTCAATAAAAGTCCGAGCCGTGCCCAATATAGAGAGAAGCTAAGAGTTCGCAACTCTATGAACTCAATTGAAGTTGAAGGTGCCCAGCACCTTTAGAGTATGTCTACACGACAGCTGGAAGCGAACATCCCAGCTGGAGTAGACAGATTTGTTCTAGCTGGGCTTGAGTTAGCACACTAAAAATGGCTGGGTGGGTGTTGGGGCTCAGGCTGGAGCTTGGGCTCTCAAGCATAGGGGGTCGGGTGGGCTTGAGAGCCCAAGCTCCAGGCTAAGCTGCAGCATCCACACTGCAGCACATTAGCTCAGGCTCCGCTAGTGCGAGTCTGTCTACCCCAGCTGGGAGGCACGCTTCAAGGTACAGTGGAGACATACCCTCAGAGCCCAAACTGAACAAAAGAGACCCTTAAAGTAGAGCTCCTCAAGAACAAGAGGCAAATTGAATACAGCAAGAGAAAGGATGGGTCTGTAGGAATTTTATTTCAAAAGTGGGTGTGGCTTGTCTGCAAATTGTAATAATTAGAATGAGATGTTTCATTTAAATCTGAACAGTGGTGTTGATGTCTCAGCTTTGGGTTTAGATTTAATTCATGGCTGAGGTTAATCCTGGCTAACCCACAGATGAACCAGTTCATAAAAAAATGAATAAAGCGCTTGCAGTCTTACTCTATCCATATATATTTAAATCAAAAGTCATATTGCTTTCCTAATATCCTTGTATCACATATCTATAAGATTAGATACGTAGACTTTGAAATATTTACCTTCAGTAGCACTATGAATGGGATTTAAAAAAAATAAGAAAAAAACTGTGTTTCTCTAGTGGACTTCAGGGGAAGCTTATTTCTAATTGGGATGTAGATATAGTAGAGATAATGAAGAGAGGCAAGGCATTCCTGCCTTTTAGTTGATTTTGGTTTTGTTTATTGCAGATTTAATTGATTGTGGATGTCTGGCCATCAGTTCAAGTTCAAAAGCTAAACTGGCTAAAACAGCTCTTAATTCCCCTACATGCTCTCTCCCTCTCTCCTTTCTTGATCACTGCAGGCCATCACCATCCTGTCTGTAACTCAGGCCCATAAGATGAGGATCATTTTCAACACAGACCTCTCTCTATGTCCTCAGACTATGTTCACAGTCAAGCTGGAAGGGCATAATGAGTGGGGTCCCACAGGGATCAGTCTGTGTCCAGTTCTGTTCAATATCTTCCTCAGTGAATTAGATAGTGGTATAGGAGTACACTTATAAAGTTTGCGGATGATACCAAGCTGGGAGGGGTTGCATGTTCTTTGAAGGATAGGATTAAAATTCAAAATGATCTGGACAAACTGGAGAAATGGTCTAAAGTAAATAAGATAAAATTCAATAAGGACAAATGCAAAGTACTCCACTTAGGAAGGAACAATCAGTTGCACACATACAAAATGGGAAATGACTGCCTAGGAAGGAGTACAACAGAAAGGAATCTGGGGGTCATAGTGGACCACAAGCTAAATGAGCGTCAACAGTGTAACACTCTTGCAAAGAAAGTAAACATCATTCTGGGATGCATTTGCAGGAATGTTGTAAACAAGACACAAGAAGTAATTCTTCCGCTCTACTCTGCGCTGATTAGGCCTCAACCAGAGTGTTGTGTCCAGTTCTGGGCGCCACATTTCAGGAAAGATGGGGACAAAATGGGTGAAAGTCCAGAGGAGAACAACAAAAATGATTAAAGGTCTAGAAAACATGACCTATGAGGGAAGATTGTAAAAACTGGGTTTGTTTAGTCTGGAAAAGAGAAGACTGAGAGGGGACATGATAATAGTTTTCAAGTACATAAAAGGTGTTATAAGGAGAAGGGAGAAAAATTGTTCTACTTCACCTCTGAGGATAGGACAAGGAGTAATAGGCTTAAATTGCAGCAAGGGAGGTTTAGGTTGGACATTAGGAAAAACTTCCTGTCAGGGTGGTTAAGCACTGGAATAAATTGCCTAGGGAGGTTGGGGAATCTCTGTCATTGGAGATTTTTAAGAGCAGGTTAAACAAACACCTGTCAGGGATGGTCTGCATATTACTTAATCCTGCCATGAGTGCAGGGGACTGGACTAGATGACCTCTCGATATATGATTCTATGATATATTGTGTAATTTCTTTCTGCATAGCATCCTTGCAATACAGCTTTTCCTATCCATGCCAACAGTTAAAATTCTTGTCCAGGCTCTCAGCAGTTGATTTTGAAATTGCCAAATACACATGTAGGAATAGCAATGGCAGTATTGGTTCTTTTATCAGACAAATAATGGAATGTGTGGCTATATAGTGTGTGGTTTTATTTTTTAAGCAACTAGGGGAAAAGTTTTAGAAATGGATTTGATATATACCAGAGCCGCCTCCTATTGCATTGTGCTCCCTGAAAATCATTAAGCTACATTTGTTTGTTGTTCTTGCAGATGTCAAATATTTAAAAGAAGAGGATGCAAATCGCAGGACATTCACAGTTAGCAGCACATTGGATTTCCGAGCGGATCGGAGTGATGATGGTGTCGTTGTAAGTTGCAGAGTAGACCATGAGTCCTTAAACTCCACACCTCAGATAGCAAGGCAGGTTCTAGAAATACACTGTAAGTAATATCTATAATCTATCTATCCCTATCCACACACGTTTACATTCTCTGGTTTTGAGTGAAGGTGTACTGTCACTAGACATACAATAAAACTTAAGTCCTTAATGAGTTCAAATACATACAAATACCTCTCTTCTAGTCCAATCCCTCAATTCTCCTAGCAAGTCAATGAGAGCTTTCCCAGAGTAAGGACTGTGAGATTGAATCCTTAGTCTGTTTGGCAGAGGAGGGGAGAGGACAAGTGTGTGAGGGGTGTTAAGTCTCACTGGTTTTCTCAGATAGGTTTTCAACACCAAGACCATAGGTTTATGTAGTATTTTGCTTGATAGTACCATAGAAATGCAAGGTGATGTTAGCAGCAGAGATTAAATCATCAACCTTATGCCCTACTAACACAGCTTTGTGTGATGTTCTTCATGTCAGAGCCTAAGAGAGAAGAGCCGTAGTCGTTATTGTTAGGGCTTGTCTATCATGGGGATGTTACATCGGAATAACTTTAGTTTGTTCTCATTAAAGTGCCTTGTGTATACATACGATTTAAAAAAAAATGAATTATTTGGCACCTTAGGTAGCAGTAATGAATCCTGTTTGGAGTAGAAGTAACTCTTCTTTGCAATGAGTTTGTGTGCTTTAAGGTTTATGTGAATGCATTTCTAACCACTCTGCTTCTGGCAGTCCTCCCCATGCTATCCCACACACCTAGCTCAGCCTGTCTGTGTACCGTACCTGTGTGCCCTCCACTGCTCTAGAGTCATCTCGACCAAATAGTCTCTCTCTAATTAAATGCTGGCACGCAGCCAGGTGTGTCCCTTTTTGATATCAGGTAGTGGTGAGTTCACACAGCTATTATAACACTGTGCTTGCATGTAGATGCCTGCAGACCTCCAGTTCCATCTGGAGAATAGTCTCTGGAATGTAGACATCTGCAAGATAGTGTCAGAGCAAATGAAGGTGAGGAGGCACTCCCAGAGCTGGTCCCAGTGCCAGATCAAAGCAAAGGAACCCACACCATGAGCACCTGGACTGCATATTTGCAGGTGATGTCACATGCATTTGCTGTTCACGAGAGCTCTATCAGAAACCAGCCAGAAAATGCTGCAGACAGGAGCTCTCCTAATAAGTAGAATATGCTGTATTACAATACAACTATGTAGAAGGATTTAAACAACTCTTTTCTGTGTACTGGCAACCTTCTCAGGGTTGCTTATGCATGTAGTTTCCAGTCCACTCCTGCACCAGCTGGGAGTATGTCATCCTGGCAGATAGCAGCTCTGCATGTGTTCCTGGTTTGCCAATTGCCTTTTTAAACAAGACCCTTCTAGGTCTGGAGCATACTTTGTTACTAAGCTCATGCACAGCATCCCTACCTAGCCCTGTCCTGTAAACTCTGGAGAACACACCAGACTAGGACCTACCTTTCAATCAACCAAATTGCAGGCACTTCCCACACCAATCAGCCTCTTCGGGATGGAAAAGAAGAACAGTTTCAAGCACCCCACCAGCAGGAATTTGTGTGCAACAGTCTGGACATGCAAAAGTTCTATTGGTCTTAAGTTTGCATTACAGTCTTTAACTCTTTGTAATTCAAATATTGTTATTTGTTACCTATGCTATTTGTTAACTCATTACAAAAGATTTGGTACAACTTGGCTGAAAAAATTCACTGAGAAGTAGCTCTCCCTATAACATCAACCTCAACCCCTAGTATCAACCCCAATAAAATCAATACACAAGCATATATCAGTCATTTCCTTGGTTTACAGTATGTTCATTATCCAAAACTACCTCCTGACCGCGAAGTAGGAGCACGGTGAATCCCTGACCCTATTTCCCATGCCACTTGAGGCATTTTTCTGAGGTAACTAGTGTGATGGGGCAAGGCCAGATGGCTACAGTAAAGTAGTGAGGAACAGGTATGTTAGCCCCAGGCTAAACAAATCCCTGGTACCATGGTAACCAAATGGCAGTTGCTCCAGGTTAATCAAGACACCTGGGGCCAATTAAGATCCTTCTAGAAGGCAGTGGAGATAGCTAGATTGATTGGGACACCTGAAGCCAATCAAGGACTGGCTGGAACTAGTTAAAAGCCTCCCAGTTAGTCAGTGAGGTGTGGGTGTCAGGAGCTATAAGAGGGAGCTGTGCTGTTGGAGGAACAAAGCAGTACAAATCTATATCAGGTGCAAGGAAGGAGGCCCTGAGGTAATTGTGAAGAAGATATTGAGTGGGGGCTGCTGTGGGGAAGTGGACCAGGGAATTGTTCACATCCTATTTCCAAAAAGTCAGCTTCCATAGCTGGCAATTTTAGGGTCCCTAGGCTGGAGCCTGGAGTAGAGGGTGGGCCTGGGCTCCCCTACCCTCCCTGATTAATCACTGATACTGGGAGACAACAGAGACTGTGCAAGGGAGAGTTGCTTCTCCTCACCTCCCTTGCTGGCTTATGATGAAAATGGCTCAGTAGACTGTGACCCTTGCCTCTAGAGAGAGAAGGGCTATGTGGAGGGTCACAGTGAGCCTCTGAGGCTAGCAAAATCCGTCAGGAAACGCAGGGCCCACGGAGTCAAGGACAGAACTTTGTCACACTAGCTACTGACTGGGAGCAATCAGAGATAGACAACTTCCAGGTAGTGATGGCCACACTCTTCTCCATGCAGAGAGGGGCCCTCATGTTGGTGTTCTATTATTGTAGCTTTAGGGTGAACTCTGCATAGATCTCTAGGAAGGTAGCTTTCTCCTCGTCATCCCAATTCTGCATTCCTATCCTGTCCCACCAGACACTGCTAGCTTGCTGAGCCTAGAAGTGGCACTCCACTAGGTAAAGGTGCTCCAGATAAATGCCCCGCAGAAGTAACTGCTCGATTTCATCGTCCTGCTCCTCCTCCACCTGTAGCTGTATCATCACAGCACCCACAGGCCTCCAAGGCGGCCAGTCTAAGCCTACCCAGCTGCTCAATTGCCAATTCATGTGCATCATCCTGTTCATATGAATAACTTTCATGATCACAGCACTCATCAGTGTGTCCATCATCCCTGACAAAATACAGATGAATCATGGGCTTCCAGGGGTAGAATCATGGAAGTGTGTTAGTTTGGCTCCAAGTCCCAGAATTCTGGTATGTTCCATAGGCACCTCACGATGCACTGCAAGAAAAAATTCAAAATGCATAGAGCTGTGCAGCACACCATTGTCCAGAATGCTACATAGTTAATTTGAAGAAGTACATAGCTGTGTGGACACAACAGTTAACAAGAACAATACCTTAAACTGCCATAACAAAGTGGTGTGAACGTACCTTAGTACAGCATAGTTAATTCAGAGTACTTAAAGTGAACAAACTAATCTGCTTCAACATCCTCATGTAGACATTCCCTTGCATTGTAAACTCTTTCCATTATAAATTGTCGGTGAAAGGATTGACTTTTTGTGCCCCACTAGCACCATCAGTACTTAGAAATAAATAATGATGATAAATATTTTTGGCCATTACTTTCCTCTTTTCTGGGTTTTTCCACTCTATAATTATGCTTGGAATTAACACTCTGCTTGTTGCAAACATGTAACTCCTCAGAGTGGCTAAGTAGATGTAACTTCATCCAGTTAAAGAGCAGGAGAAAGAGAAGATATTTCACTAAATGAATGACAGAGTTTTATTGGTAACTTGTGGAACGATGGAGTGAAATGAAATCTGCTCTAGAAGATGGGGCTATGTAAAATAGACACACACAGATTTTATAAAGAAGCCTCTACAAACCCACACACCAGCTTTATTCAGCAACTTTGTTAGACAACAACTTGCCAAAACTAAAACCAATATTAACCTTTAATAACTATATATTGATATCAGTGCTTACATTTTTTCCTCCCAAATGGGATGGGACAAACCAGATCAGTTCAAACAACCAGAATCATGACTCAGTACTTGAAATGAACATGACACTTAAGGTTCAAAAAATTCAGTTAGCTCTTTTAAAAATACTTTTTTGAGCACTTCTGCTCTCTTTGTTATGGCCGGGTGCAAAAGTGAAGAACTACAGGATTGCCTGTTCTTGTGTTGTTTATAGCCTGACCAAAAGCAGGATATCTTGAGAGACAGAACATGATCAGCGCTTGAAATCTGGGGATAGAGAGAGTGTGTCTGTTTTCATGAGGTTCCCAGGCCTATTTTGCAGATATTAAGAAATAGATACAAATATTAAGAAAATTTAGATAAAGTTTGGGTAAACATCCAGAATTTTGGATGATTATCTGAACCAACCCCTCCAATCTTTTGAGATTTACCCATCACTAATTTATATCCTCTCTCACTCCATCCATATGTCATGCTCTGTTTCCTGCAGGGCAGTCTTACTGCCATTGTCTTGCTAAAGGGTTTGGCTGTAATCTAGTTCATGCTTGCCCAATGGGGATTAGTGGTGGCATGACATTCTTGCCAAGTCTATTTTTCCACTGACCCTTACAGTCAACGATAAACCTAGAATAGAATAATATTCTCTGTGGCATTGTGTGGAAGTTTGTTGTTAGACTAGCTGCCACTGACTATTAGGTAGTTTTTTTTATAAGCTATAAAAATAAACCAAAATAAATCTCAGAGAAACATTTAGTTTTATTACTTACTCCTGTGCTCACTCTCTAAAACCTTCTTCTGTTCTGTCACAGATACAGTACTGCCACTATAAAAGTTTGGTGCTGCAGTGATTCACTTGTATTGTACCGTGTACCTGGAAGCCTTTGCTTGCACTCCCGGAGGCAGCACATTTCGACTCTCTCCACCAAGGCACAAGTCCCAGGAGGCTTCATTTGAAGCTTTAAAATGAAATCAAACCTGTTCAAACTTCAGACATAATCATAGTGATTCTAAAATGGCAGCTGTAATGAGACCAATACCACAAGACACACTGAAAGATTCTGCAGCATATCTCATAAGCTGACCATACTTCCCATATGACAGCACTGATGTGTTAAATATGTATTATGTAAAAAAGATATTGTGCTGATATCT